TAGAGTTATAATACTTCAAGAATACAGTTGAGCTACTGGAAATGGGAGGCCTTACACTATAAGAATGCTTGTTCAAGGTAGATGGCTGGAAAAACAACCTATATCATTCAAAAGAAACTTGAAACTTTGTCAGATTTTGTGATTATTTCTCATTCTTTTATTTCACAACTATAGTTGGCAATAAAAACTGTTCTCACTACTACTTACTTCATCTCCTTAAGTTTTTTCAATACAAGCAGTAGATTTTAAATAGTAAATGTAGATTTCTTTTATTAGTATACATTTTCAATTCTATAACTGTTTATTGAAAGGTACTTAAAACTTTTTGTTTTATGGGGAATGAAAATTACAAATTATAAAAGAAATCAAATCTTGATTGTACAAACCAGGGGTCACAAAACTACGGTCGGCGGGTCGGATCCGGCCAGCCGCTGCACTGTGCCACAAATGAGCTAAAATATAATTATTTATATGGAAATATCATAGATTGTAGATAAACTTACAATGTAGAAAAAATTAAAATAAGTGTAAGTAAAAATGTCCAAATTTGTCCAATCTGATTTTTGCATTTGACAGTAATATAAGTTTCAGGAAAATCAGTGAAATAAAAAATTCGTCGACTTTTTGCGACTTTGGATGTTAGAACGCTTTTTGTGTAAGTACCTGCAATGAGAGTTCATTCCTACAGTCGCCTCTGCGCGCATTGTTGTAAGACGATACAATGCTTACAGGCAGTTGATACAAGTAGTGTGACGAGTGTGCGTGTGGTTACACAGCTTTGTGATAGAGAAGACGTGTGCGTGTATTGTATGTGCTTCTACATATATTTGTGTGTTGTACATATTAGTTTATATATTTATATTCAACTCTGGAACACTGGTTCAATACATGGATTAAACCCAAACAGGCGACTTTTGCGACTTTGGATATCAGAGCGCTTTATATTAGCGCTTTTTGTTTAAGTACCTGCAATGAAGTTTCCAAGAAAAGCGATTACGAGCCTGCTGTAGCGATAGTGTTTTAACTTGCACTGCCATGTTTAAACCGGTTTGAAGAGTGCCGTATATAAAAGGGACTGACTTCATTGAATTATGTCATATATTTTGCATATTTGAGTGTTGAAAGAGCTCACAAGAGGTAAGCATCTAATATTTTCAAACTTTGATATTTATTTAAGCCCAAAATTTTAATCGCTATACACTCAAAAAACGACTTAATTAAATTAACGAAATTTTAATTAAATTAGTATCAAATTCTTAATACTATATTTACCTTTTAAGATTCTTAATATTTTTATTAAATATGATCTTAATTATTTTTTATGAAGCTCTTCTAATTAACTTACATAATAGATTTTAAATACATTGCAAATTATAAAAATTGCTTAATCAAATAACTTATCGGGAAAAAACTTTTAAACCAATTACGTAATAACGTAATTTAATGTCATGAGCTATTTACATTTAGTTTGTCATGTTTATATACATGTCGAAAAATTTTTGAAAAATTATTATTTTTCTAAAACTTTTTGGTAGACTATTCAATGTGTAAATAAACAATTGCTTT